TAGCTCTCATCAACTCATGGCATAAAAGAAAACAAACAAAGCTACACATGGTATATTATAATAGAAGACGCATTTTAACAACAACACTCAATATTCAAGACCTTCAGGAAACTGTTAAATAATATTTATGTAATCTTATTTATTAAGGGTAAAATAGTATTTTTAATTTAACCTATATATCTTTATATGTATTTAGGTTAAGTCTAAGCACTCATAATACACAGATTATTCAGAATTGTAGCCTCCCTATTTTGTTTGATCTTAATTATTTTAATATGGTATCAGAGCTGATAACGAAGCTTAATCCCAAACACGGCTTCGCGGATCCAACTCTGTGGTAAGTTGGCTGGGGGTTTGCAAGGGGCAGCGCACCCCTGCCAGGGTTTGGTATTTCGTTACTTTTTTTGGAGTGAGATATTGTCTTCCGTTTCTGTAAAATTTTGGTATTTCGTCTTCCATTTAGTTTTTGCAATTTGGTATTTGTGTTCAGTTTCTGTAAATTTGTTTTATATTTTGGAGTAATCATATAATTATGAGAAGATACTTGTTTAGTTTCTACAATCTCTGTTCAGTTTCTGCAATTTGGTATTTGGTTTTCCATTGCTTTTGCATTCTAGTTTTTTATGATTGTTGATTATGGCTACTGAAAGAGATGATTCGCTTCAGTATGTGAGTGTGAGGTTGGATGGGAAGAACTATTTATATTAGAGCTATGTAATGAGAAATTTTCTTAAAGGTAAGAAGATGTGGAGATATGTTAGTGTAATTTATGTGGTACCTAATAATACTGAAGAAGGAGATACTGCTTCAATAGATGTATGGGAAGTAAACAATACAAAGATCATTACTTGAATCAACAAATCTGTTGAGCATTCTATAGGTATACAGTTGGCGAAGTATGAGACAACAAAGGAGGTTTGGGATCATCTACAACGATTATTAACGCAATCAAATTTTACAAAACAGTATCAGTTAGAGAATGACATATGAGCTCTTCACCGGAAGAATATGAGTATTCAAAAGTTCTATTCTGCCATGACAGATCTTTGGGATCAATTGGCTCTTACAGAATCGGCAAAATTAAAAACATGTAGTGCTTAGATTAAACATAGAAAGTAGCAATGATTGGTACAGTTTTTAACAGCACTTCGTAGTGATTTCGAAGGACTTAAAGGTTCAATTCTACATCATTCTCCATTGCCTTCTGTTGACTCTGTTGTCAGTGAGTTATTGGCTGAAGAAATACGTCTTTAGTCTTATTCTGCTTCAAATCCTTCTGTATTAGCAGTACCTTCTAAGCCATTCTCTAATCATCAAAACAAGTCTTACACAAGGGTTGGCTTTGATGAGTGCAGTTTCTGTAAGCAGAAAGGTCATTGGAAGGCTCAATGTCCTAAGTTGAGATAGCAGAATCAAGCTTGGTAGTCTGGCAGTCACTCCGAATGCTCATAGACCACCTTAGGGTTATAAACCACCACACCACAATACTACAGTGGTAGCTTCCCCAGGCTTTATTACTGATCCTAATACTTTGGTTGAGCAATTCCAGAAGTTTCTCTCCTTGCAGCCACAAGTAATGTTCGCTTCTTCTTTCATAGGTCAGTTGTCTTATAGTTCCTCAAGTATGTCACACTCTGAATGGATCTTGGATTCTAGTGCTTCCCATCATATGTCTCCAGATTCCTCATCTTTTTTCTTTGTGTCCCCTTTGTCCTTCATTCTTGTTATGACTACTAATGACACTCCTATGCCCTTAGCAGGTGTTGGTTCTGTTGTCACACCTCACTTGTCTCTTCTTAATGTTTATCTTATTCCAAAACTCAAATTAAATCTTGCATCTATTGGCCAAATATGTGATTCTAGTGGTTATTTAGTCATGTTTTTTAGTTCTTTTTATTGTGTACAGGATCTGTAGTTTTAGAAGCTGATTGGGACAGGCCGTAGGGAGAATGGACTATATATTTTGGATGAGTTAAAAGTGTCAGTTGCCGCTACTGCTGCTGTTGTTGATTTGTCTTCCTTTCATTTGAGTCTTTCATCTTCTAGTTTTTACTTATGGCATTCCCGTATAGGTCATGTTTCATCTTCTTGTTTGAGATTTTTAACATCCACATGAGCTTTAAGAAATTTGAAAACATGTGACATTTTGATTATAGTGGATGTAAACTGGCAAAATTTTTCGCTTTACCTTTTAATCAAAGTATTTCTATTTCATCTTCACCATTTGATTTGATTCATTCTAATATATAAGGACCTTCTCTTGTTGCCACAAAAGAAGGGTCTCAATATTATGTCTCTTTTATTAATGATCATACTTGTTATTGTTGGGTTTATTTAATGAAACATCGTTCTGAATTCTTTGATATATATGCAGCTTTTCGAACTCTTATCAAAACTCAACATTCTGCTGTGATCAAATGTTTTAGGTGTGATTTGGGTGGGGAATACACCTCTAATAAATTTTTCCAATTGTTTGCCTTAGATGGCACTATCCACCAAACTTCATGTACAGATACTCCTGAGCAAAATGGTGTTGCTGAAAGAAAACATAGGCACATTGTTGAAACTGCTCGTTCTCTCTTAGTGTCTGCTTTTGTTCCTAGTGAGTTTTGGGGAGAAGCTGTTCTTACTACTATAAGTTTGATTAATACAATTCCATCTTCTTATAATTCGGGTCTATCTCTTTTTAAAAAGTTATATCGGTATGTCCCTGATTATTCCTCATTTAGAGTATTTGGTTGCACTTGTTTCATTCTTCATCCTCATGTAGAACGCAGTAAGCTATCCCCTCGATCTGCTATTTGTGTTTTTCTAGGTTATGGTGAAGGTAAAAAGAGGTATTTTTGTTTTGATCCAATAACTTAGAAACTTTATGTGTCTCGTCATATTGTCTTCCTTGAGCATATACCTTTCTTTTCTATTCCATCCACTACTCATAGCCTGACTAAATCTGATCTTATTCGTATAAATCCTTTTTCTGAGGATTTTGGTAATGATACCTCTCCCCATGTTAGATCAATTTGTACTCATAACTCTGCAGGTACTGGTACTTTACTCTCTAGCACACCTGAAGCTCCATTCTCATTTACAGCCCCTCAAGCTTCATCTGAGATTATAGATCCACCTCCACGCCAGTCCATCCGCATTCGTAAGTCTACAAAACTACCAAATTTTGCTTATTTTTGTTGTTCTTCATCATTTACTTCCTTTTTAGTTTCTATTCATTGTCTCTTTGAGCCCTCTTCCTATAAAGAGGCAATTCTTGATCCGCTTTGGCGGCAAGCTATGGATGAGGAACTTTCTACTTTGCATAAGACAGATACTTGGGATTTAGTTCCTCTACCTCCTAGTAAGAGTGTTGTTGGTTATCGTTGGGTGTATAAAATCAAAACTAATTTTGATGGGTCTATTGAGCGATACAATGCTAGGCTGGTTGCAAAAGGATATTCTCAACAATATGGTATAGACTATGAGGAGATATTTGCCCCGGTTGCAAAAATGACTACTATTTGTACTTTTATTACCGTAGCTTCAATTTGTCAGTGGCATATGCCTCAGCTTAATGTTAAAAATGCCTTCTTGAATAGAGATCTTCAAGAAGAAGTTTATATGGCTCCCCCTCTTGGTATCTCACATGACTTTGGATATGTTTGTAAGCTTAAGAAAGTATTATATGGTCTCAAACAAGCACCCTGTACTTGGTTTGAGAAATTCTCTAATGCAATCTCATCTCTTGGCTTTGTTTCTAGTAGTTATGATTCTGCTCCTTTTATTAAGTGCACTGAGATAGGTTGTATCATTTTGTCTTTATATGTTGATGATATGATTATTACTGGTGATGACATTGATGGTATTTCAGTTTTAAAGACAGAGTTGGCTAGACAATTTAAAATGAAGGATTTGGGTTATCTTCAATATTTTCTGGGTATTGAGGTAGCATACTCACCTAGAGGTTACCTTCTTTCTCAGTCGAAATATGTTGCAGATATTCTTGAGCGGGCTAGACTTACTGATAATAAGATTGTAGATACTCCTATTGAGGTTGACGCAAGGTACTCTTCTTCTAATGGTTTGCCTTTGATAGATCCTACTTTATATTGCACTATTGTTGGAAGTTTGGTATATCTCATAATTACTCGTCCAGATATTGCATATGCTGTTCATGTTGTTAGTCAGTTTGTTGCTTTTCCTACTCCTGTTCACTGGGCAGCTGTTCTTCATATTTTATGATATCTTCAGGGTACAGTTTTTCAGAGTCCTTTACTTTCATCCACCTCTTCCTTGGAATTGCGTGCATACTCTGATGCTGATCATGGTAGTGATACCACAGATCGCAAATCTGTTACCGGGTTCTGTATCTTTTTAGGTGATTCTCTTATTTTTTGGAAGAGCAAGAAACAATCTATTGTTTCTCAATCATCCACTGAAGCAGAATATCGTGCAACGACATCTACTACTAAAGAGATTGTTTGGTTATGTTGGTTACTTACTGATATGAGAGTTTCCTTTTCTCATCCTACTCCTATGTATTGTGACAACCAGAGTTCTATTCAGATTGCTTACAACTCGGTTCTTCATGAGCAAACTAAGCATATTGAGATTGATTGTCATCTTACTTGTCATCATCTCAAACATGGCACCATTGCTTTGCCTTTTTCCTTCTTCCTTACAGATTGCAGATTTCTTTACCAAGGCACATTCCACCTCTCATTTTCGTTTTCTGGTTGGCAGACTCTCGATGCTTGTAGCTGCCGCATTGTGAGTTTGAGGGGAGATGTTAAATAATATTTATGTAATCTTATTTATTAAGGGTAGAATAGTATTTTCAGTTTAACCTATATATACTTTATATGTATTTAGGTTAAGTTTAAGCATTCATAATACACAGATTATTCAGAATTGTAACCTCCCTTTCGTGTTTGATCTTAATTATTTTAACAGAAACAACACGGTGAAGGAAAATTACCAATAAATTCAATCCAATGGTCAACCATTTAACATTAATAACAACAGAAGTGATAGTTTTAATTCATTACTAAAATACAACATTAAAAACCAGCAATATCCTCATACAAGTATATTAGCTCCCGAAAAGCAGTTTAAAATAAATACAACAGTACGCAAATTACCACAAATGGAAATGCCCATATATCTCTACACGAAATGTGGAAGAATACAATGACTCGGATAAACTTCGGCAATTGAAAAAAACCTCTTTTTTAAAATCAGCATCCCATTATTCTACAACAATAAAATAAACTCGTATAAATACATTAAGCAAGAGAATAGTTAATTGATTAACGGTTAAGAAAATGTAATAATGCCATGTCAGTTAAGCACGTTTAGTGCGTGCATACATTCGTTGCAGCCATCTCAACGTTTGCTCCTTATCACCCATACTAGCCCACATTTCTCTTTTCCTTCTTAAACTCAAATACTCTGTAGCAAAGTCGTGGAACTCATCTCTAATTGAAACTCCAGGAATTGAGTATAGCTCAGCCATCACCTCGCGAATACTACAGCCTTCGCGATCCATATTAACAGATGTGGAATCACTCTTAGTCGATATACTCTCAAGTAGTTGATTGCACCTTGACAGCAGATGAACACCAATTCCATATGTTTTCTTTTTTCTACCTTACACATCATAATGATCTCCTTCTTTTCTTTTGCCACCACTTTTTGTGTTGCTACTACTATACATATTTATCCTCCAACCATTCAAGCCATGTCAGTCTGGAAATAGGGAATCACATCTTCCTCTGAATCACCGCTGCCCTCTTCCTAACCATCATGAGCAATATCGGCATTGCTTGTACCAGGATCAACATCACTGCCAGTAGGTGCACCTGATGAAAGAGCCCATGCAAATGCTCCAGTTGCGACAATATTGGAATACATTCGGTCAAATTTATTCTTCAAAGATGGCTTAATAACACGACTAAAAAATTGATGTCTTCTCCCACGTGTAGGAGTGTCGAAGTAATAAATAACTTGGCAAGACCGGGGTCGAACCACATGGAGGTTAATTGTACAAATTATAAACAACAATTATAAACAACAATAATAGCAATAATAACAACAACAATAACAATAACAACAACAACTATAATAATAGTAGTAGTAGTAGTAGTAGTAATAATAATAATAATAATAAAGAAAGAGAAGAAGAAGAAGATGATCAGAACTTGGAGATGGAAAATTAATGTAAGGATTAAACAATAATAATAACAAATGTCAAGGTTAGAGGTTCCATTAATGGTATGTTAGACAAGTATAGTATAAACTCTTATTATTCAATTGGAAACCACACACAAAGGAGGTTCCAATCAGATTATACATTGTTAACATGATTACATTATTCATCTTATTCGATTAATGCTAGTACTTGTAAATCTCGTCAAGCATTCATGATTATAACTTATGTTAACAACAAATCAAGTTCCTTTCATAGCTCAGGTGTCGGTTATACCATACAGTATGAACTATGAAAGTGCCAAGCATTTGTTGTACCAAGTGTTATACAATATAAATCAAGATTAGTCATTTAACAAGCAAAGTATTAAAGAGTGAACAAGATAACAAATACAAAACATGTTAGTATCAAACATTAAAGTCCATATTAAGTTTACACTATACTTATTCTTACACCATTAGTGTAACCTTTTCACCTTGACATAATAAACTTAGCTAGACATAATGAAAGAAAGAAAAATAAATAAACAAAATAAGAACATGAATAAGATAAGAGTTAACAAAGCAAAGGAAAGGAATTGAAAGACATAAACTTGATATTAATGAAAGGCATAAACTTGATATTAATGAAAGCAAAGCATAAACATTACAAAAAATACAAAGAGAGAAAGCAAGAGCATGATCTTGATCTGGACACCAAGATGCCTAAATGCATGACAAATGCCTCCTTTTATAGGCCAAAATTAGGAACTATTGATTTGATGACTAATTGATGAGTGGGTGACCAACTCTTGACTTGGTGACAATCCTTATCTTCTCTTGTCTGCCCAAAACTGACAATCCTTATCTTCTCTTGTCTGCCCAAAACATCATTGATAACCTCAAAATTGGAGCCACTTGAAAACATGAAAGTTGTAGCCAATTGTCTCAGCTTTCTTGTGTAAACAATTCAGCTCATTTGGACTTCTAGAACTCCAGATATGGCCAAAATACTGAACAGTGCTCGGGCTGGAGGACAACTTCGGGCTTCTTTGTTGTTGCAATAATTTGGACTTGAAAATAGCCTTTTTAGATCTTGGGCTCCATATAAAAATTATAGGCCTATGTCTTACCTTTCTATCCATATAAAGTAGACCTAAATCTGAGATCTATAGCTCCAGATATGACCCAATTACCAAACAGTGTTCCGGTTTGGATTGCACTGACATCTCTTTTCTAATTTTGGTCATCTCTTTGCCCTTGTAATTTAAGTTCTTAAAGTCATCAATCAATCCTTTCATTTATGTGATAGGCCTGCATTTAAAATGAACATTTACCACAAATTAAAGGTATCTTATAGTATTAGATATATTATTATAAAACATGCTTTAGTTAAGGAGTTATTGATACTTCAAGTGCAAAATGATGATATAAAACCATGATAAAAATGCACTTTTAAGTACTAATCACTTAATACCAACATGTCTGAATTTTTTAGCTCCTTTAATTTCCTGCATATAAATTAAATCAAGTAATAAAGGATCAAGACTAGTAAAATGTTGGTGTTGGAATTTGACAACAATAAAAGAAATTATTAGATGATAAGGAATGTAATTGAATTTTTTGTTTCCACCACTCATCGCTAGCTGAAATTGTGCCTAATTCACTATTCCAGCCAACTCCAGTTTCAAAAACCAACTTATTCCATATCCTCCAATCCTTTTTGCATCCATCCCGTTTGTTTTTCAATGATGTTTTAGTGAATGCATGGCCAGTTTGTTCTTTGAATGATGTTATAAGAAATTTCCACCCCGTTTTATCAAAATGAGTATTAGGTCTCAGTCCCATATCAATTGCCTTAATGCATATATCACAAAATATATGCAATATTTTCTTTGTCCAAGCAACCTTATCAAAAGATTCAAGAACTTCTATGATATCTTTTAACACATTTAACAAAAGTTTGAAATCAATCAATGATATCAATTACATTATGGTACATATATAAACCGTGGACTAAAACAATAATAAAACACACTGTTTAGTATTTACAAAAGCTGTATGGTTAGCAACAAACATTAACCATGCATGTATTTGAATGAGAATGTTCCCGTTAATTTGTAATGAAAACTAATTGAAACCTATTAATTTTCAACTGTTTAGAAAACTCATTTTTAGCTATCATATAATATTTGAATTATCAAGCAACACTTCATTGTCATCATGTTGTATGGAAGCTAAAAACAGAAGGGGGAAAACAAATAGAACATAATTTATTTCTACATTCAAAGTAACCCACCTTTCTTTCACAGCATGCAAACACACAAAAGGAAACTCAAAATTCTTATTTTGACTACACAAGTAGAAATAAAAGTAATCCTACATGACGTGCTAACAGGGTACTCATTACGGTTTCAACAAACACATGTACATTAAAGAAATCTATGATTGTTCAAATAGAAACAACATCAATGTGCATAGTAAACATATCAGACCATAAAGAACAACACATAAATGAAATTTCAAAGCATCACATTATTTCCAGTAAGCAAATAATCCAGTAGCAACACTGGTAGTAGACATCAAAAACAAAACTAGTTTTAAACAAAGAATAATAGCAGATAAGCAGTATATAGAAGCAATTAGATTTTTCTAAATTCAAAACAATTGATGAAGGTATAGTAAATAAAAGACAATCAGCAACAGCCATGAAATTTGTCAATTGCAGAACACACAGTAATTGATTATGCAGGTACACAAACTTGTAATTTTTCATTTAAAAAAATGAAAATGAAGATAGAGATAAGGTAGGAACTTACCTCAGTCTATCACTTTAGGTATCCAAACCAGCACGGTTCTATAGCTTTGTCTTACAAACAGATACAATAGAGATCCAGAACATAAATTAGATTTTGAGCTACAATTACTACAAAATTAACATGGGTAACAAACATAGTACACAAAAGCATCATAGAAATGCAGGTTTTCAAATAAAAAAATTAAAAACATATGTAAAGCAAAAGACAAGCAGAAGAAGTAATGAAATTTGCTATAAATTCAAAAAATTTAATAAAGGCACATTAAATAGAACACAAGCAGCAACAACAATGAAATTTATAAATCAATTCAACAATTGCAGTGTTAACAGTAATCGAGCATGCAGCAGCACAAACATGCAATTTTTCATCCAAAAAAGTGAAAATGAAGATGGAGATAAGGTAGGAACTTACCTCAGTCTCTCTCTTTGTTCTGCAAACCACCATGGTGCTGCACCTTTATTCTGAAAAAACAAAAACAATAGAGACCCATTACAGAAATTAGTTTTAGAGCAACATGTTAAACAAAATTGACAAGAGGAACACACAGTACTTACGGGTGTCTCGCTCGTGGACCTTTCCCAACACGAATCTCTTGGGTTTTTTTGCAATTGTAACAATAGAGGGACAAATCGGTGAAGGTTTGTGTTTTTGATCTTCATTTGGAAATAAAGGATAGAGGGGAAGAAGCTTGCTCTGGCGTCGTCCTGTGCGTTGGTGGTTTTAGGGAAAAATAGAACGAGGTTGTAGTAGGAGAGAAGAGAGGAGAACAGTTTGAGGAAGGAAAATGGGGTTTAGTTCATCAATGCTAACATTGATCTGTAACTGTAACAAAAAAATTTGTGAGGTAAAGGACCGTAATTGACCGTGGTTACTAGAAAAGTGTTGGTGGTGAGAGAGGTAAAACACATGAAGGAACAATATGGGGAAGGTTGAAAATGGGAGTTTAGATTAATGGTAACATTGATCTACAACCTTCTGTGAATAATTTGTTGGGTTTTTCTGATTGTTGGGAAATTGGGTGAGGACAGTTGGCAAATTAATTGCAAATTGTTGGTGATGAGAGAGGAGAAATGCATGAAAAGTAATGCGTAACTGCTTTTCACTTTTTGTAATTCAACCACAGTTTGAACTAGGACTAACGTAAAAAACAATTATGGTTCGTGGTTAACCAAACATGTGTTACACTGCTTTCCTTTCAACCGCAGCCGCATAAGTATATCCAAACACCTTCTCAAGCACTAATTAAAATTTCACGTATGAAGTTTTATAGGGTAGGAAAATATAAACCTCCTGCCATAAAAATTAGTAAATTAGTGTTAAATAAGATCATCCTTATTTTTTTTAAATAAGATAAATTAGAAGGAAAATAAATTATTAAGACTTAGATGAAAAATTCCTAGTGAATTTACTTAGATTTCATATTAAAAAATAATAAATCAATACGCTAAATAGTAGTTTAGTTATAAATCACATAAACTTTCCAGTCCAGCAAAATGATTTTTTTAAAGGAATAATTTTTGTAAATTAGGGAGAAAATATTTAGAAAAAAGAAAAAAAATGGAATGAAACATTGAATAAATTAATATATGATTTTATGTGTATAATTTTAAAGGAATAATTTTATGTGTATAACCACACAATTTTA